TGTTGTTTAACGCCGACTCAGCAATATACCAGCTATATGACGGTGGTTCGTAAATAATCCAGTCTGGACCAGACAATCCAGTTATTATCACCAAGAGCACCGATCTACGCAATTGGGATACGATGACATGCATCAACCAAGTCAGCGAGCCTAACCATATTTCAAGACATGTATTTGATATTCATAATAAATCCACAAAAGCTACACAATGGCGACAAAACGATACCAGCATCACAAATTACTTTAATTAATATAATTACTTTAAAGTTAAAACATGTATCTAAATAGAAAATTGGAAGGATACACTTCCGACATTTTTCGTATTTTGTTTTCGTTTGGAGTGAGAAGTTGTGATTGGTATCTGATGAGTGCAAACGGGTGCTCCCTTCCGCCCAGGCCTTACGGCAATGCTATAGCCCAAAATGAAACAAGCCTAGATGTTTAAACAGGTTCAGGCTGAAATTTCCATCCCACTTGGGCTCCTTTTAAATTTAGATATAGTTTCTCGTGTCGATATGTGTCAAAAGAAATGAATTAAATATTACAGCACTGGTGAATAGGTTATATGCGCATGTCAGCGTCGATCCTACAATATCCTTTTATGCAAAATACATATATACTGATGAATTAACGTAGTAATACTACGCAAATATATGTCAAGATGTATACATGAGTAACATCTCGTGATCTTTATTCGTGCTTTAAGCTCTTTTTCTACCGGAGATTCTGGGGTGTTACATCACACCAGAAAGCCAGGTCCAAATTCAAGTCATAATTTCATGGTCCATCTTGTATGTTGGAAACCAATATCGCAATATGGCTGAATATTGCTAAACGTGGTATTAACACGATTACTCACATAATTATTCCATTTTCTTCGTGCACGTTCTACAATCATCTACGATCACTATCTATAAGGAGGTATATCTATATTCATCCAAATGTACATACATATATGTCCACATACATACATGTATGTATTAAGCAAGTCCCACATTCTTCCTTAAAAGATAAATGCTCTGTATGTATTTATATATGTAAAAATCGTTTTTATGTCAACGCTGATGCAGTGAACGTACCACAGACCTGATGCTAGAATTACATCTAATCTCTGAAATGAACATATTTTACAGAAAAAACCCAATAGTTATAAAATATAACAAAAAGGAGCCAAGAGACTTTCTTCATTTTGCCAGATTTTGGGCTGTATTGTACATATTTGTTTCGGGGTCTGTATGACAGACACACCTAATCTTTCAAAGTATAAAGATAAGTACATGTAAGTATAGATGTGGTATATATTCAAATATGTTTGTGATTAACCCGACCTTGAAAAATATTGAAGGGGGAGTGGTAACTATTTATGTCATTATTTCGAATTAGAATGATAGCACATCAGAAAAGCATGGCACTTTAATATACGTATCTTGTTAGCCCAATAGTGTTTTAAGTAAGAGCAACATGTATATCGAGAGTATAGGTTTGGTGCGTGACTTACCCCACATTACTGTCAGAAAGTGTGCATGCTCTGTTTATCGGGAATAAATGACATAAGGCGATTCATGCAGGTAAATACGATTTACTTCAGAACTAGTATAGATTACTTTAGGTTAGGAGAAAATGTATGTAATTAACAGAACTTTTGATTTCTGCAAGCTTCGTGCTCAGGGGGTTGTTTGGGCGGGTTAAAAGGATTCGGGTCCTGGCTTGGTCTTTGTGTTGGACGTGTAGCTGGCATTTCCAGGTTTGACGTATCAATGACCAAAATGATGTCCGATGCAATTCTCTATTTTGACTTGTACCGTGTGTTTCCGTGCCTTTTCGGGTGAACAATTTGCTTGCCTTTGCATGTGTTTGTAGCGGGTGCTACTTGTGGATCGGGATGAGCTCGCCTTATTGCGAGCACCCAGTGTCATCATTTTATAAGGTGAATAATGAAACATGCATGCTCCTGGTGTTGTCAGAATCGTGCAGTTGGCGCTACTTTTGGCAAGGCTTTCTTGTGATTGTAATAGGCGCCCTCTAAAGCCTGTAGAAAGGCGCCCAGTGACAGTAGAATTATAGATATATTGGACAAAAGGTCAGATGTTATACTACGGTATTTTGCGTTGTGTTCTCTTCTCCCTGGGCAGTATTCTTATGTCTCTACATTCTAGGAGGCTCCTGACTGGGTTATCAATTCTAGTTAGAAAGAAAACACAAAGAATAGAGTTAGGTTTAAAGTTTATTTAACAATAAAAAACAACAGGGGCAAAATCCTAACCTTTTCTGTTCCCTACGTAATTTCCCCCCTTCCCTACCTTCTTAAACCTATTCAACCGTATAACTTAAACTTGTACTATTAACCACCCGTCTAACTTAACTCCCAAAAGTAAAACGTCTATAAACAAACCTATTCAATCACTACTCTACTTTTCCCCCACCCATACATCTTAATCTAACACCTCAATGAAAGCCCTAAAATAATAATGAATGATCCTGATTCAGGACGCGGGAGTCGACCGTGCTTACCAGATACTGGTGAGTGACGACTGACGATTCCCTACCCAGGGTAGGCTTATAAAGCCAACACGCGGACCATGTGACCAGGAAAACGGACACAACCAATGAACACGCTCCTTACATCTCGGCTCTCTCAATCATGGCTTCCGCCTAGCCGAGCATGCAAGAAGCGTGCCATCGTCACGTCTTCCCAGCCACTACGCCCGCGTGGGCATAAGCCACTACGCGAGGACTACAAAGATAGGTACTACGTCAGCCGTTCAACTCACCCTTAAACTAACCCACCCATGACGTTCTTAAATATATTTACCCACAATAACCCCCGGTCGACTACATCCCCCCCCCCCCCCCCCCCCCCACCCCTTGATAAATCAACAAGAGTAAATATATAGAAAAACCTGTGGATTATATCAAAAAATAAAAATAAATAAATAACCGGATTTAGACACAAAAATGCGAAGAAATGCGATTTCAGCTTCTCAATCATTGGAGAATCTTGCCAGCACTTCTTGCTCTTCCATGTCTTGTGCCTCTCGGCTCAGGCGTCGTTTTGGTTGGGCCGACCGTAATTGAGCAGCCTGCTCACGTTGTAATCTTCTAGGCCCTGAAACAGGGTCTCTCCTTGGCAGAAGACAGTCCCCTGGGTCTTGGAACTGGCGGTTCCTTCTCCGCACAATGGTGATTATCCCTGGAAGGGAATGAGTCTGCGCATGTTTTAATGCCTCCGGTTTACGCTGGAAGACCCTCCGGCAGATGGAGCACTCCTTCAGATTATGGTTAGGGCGGTTTGCCCGGACCCAATGGTCCACCATCTGCCGGTATTTGGTGAAGTGTCTACTTGTGCAACCCTCCACGGCACATGTCATGCCTTCGTCTGGCCAGATAGGCCGTTCCCTTTCAGTAAACTCCGACATTTCTGCCTCACTGTCTTTAATTTGCAGTTCCATCTGAAAGCAGAACTTGAAAAGCAGATCTATTCCCAGCGAAAAAAAATATAGTGGTCAAGTTTGCCCATCCGGAACCCCTTCAAGAAAAACAAAACAACCCCAAAACAACAACAAACACAATCAAACGACAATGGAACTATCTACATATCACTGAACACCAACCCCCTCCCATCTAACTGGGACTAAACCTTATTAGCGGTTTGATAGTCCTCCCCGCACAGGTTCTCACAGCTTCTGGAGATCCTACTCCCCCCTCTGAAAAGGATCCCTCCGTGTCCGCAAATGTGAGGTCTTGGCCCTCCGCAGCAGCGGGGTCTTCCTCTGGTTGATTCAACCAATTCCTGGGACATGGAGAACCCTCAAATGGTTTTAGTTGATCAATATGTACGCTGATAACTGGCTTCCCCGGACTCCTCTGGATTCGATATGTTGTAGGGGACAGCTGACCTACTACCAAATAGGGCCCATCCCATCCTAACCCTAACTTCTGATTGGCCTTAGGCGGATACCATCGCCAAACAAAGGAGCCTCCTTCATAAGATCTAACCTTCAACTTGTGGTCATAGTTTCTCTTTTGTAATTGAGCGGCTCTACCTAGCTGGTCATTTGGAAACTGAAATATGCCTTGCGTGGTCTCCCTCAACCATTTCACATGTTCAGGGCAACGGTTATAATCAGTTGCAGGTGGGGTACCCACCATGAGATCTATAGGTAGACTTACTTCTCGACCCAACATCATCAGATTGGGTGAGCAGTGAGTGCTCTTATGCTCGGAGGCTCTATACGCCATTAGTAGGTATGGTAGATGGTCGTCCCAATCTAAGGGTTCTTGATCAGAGTAAATGCTGAGCATCTGCTTTAAGGTCCTATTGAAGCATTCAACTAACCCGTCTGATTGAGGTCTATAAGGGGTGGTTCTAGTTTTATCAATCCCTAACAAATGGCACACTTCCTTGAATAAATGAGACTCGAACTCTCTCCCCTGATCGGTGTGAATCTGCTCAGGACATCCAAATCTACAGATTACCTTAGACACTAACTTGTCAGCGACAGATAACGCTGTGTGATTTCTCAAGGCAAACGCTTCCTTCCATTTGGTGTAATAATCTCCAACTACCATAATGTACTCATTGCCATTTCTGCTTATAGGTAAAGGACCAACAATATCTATGGCCAGACATTCCATAGGAGCCCGTACAGTAAACTGTTGTAATGGAGACCTGCCTCGTCCTGGACCTTGTTTACAGCGTGCACACAAGTCACAAGATTTTAACCATCTTTTAATGTCTTCAGACATTCCTGGCCAATAAAATCTGGTTTTGATAGATGTCATAGTTTTATCTCGACCGAAGTGCCCAGCTGTATGTGAAGTATGCAAATGTTCAAAAATGGATGTACGTACAGCGGTTGGTGCTACTAACTGTAAACGAGAGCCAAAAGTATCAAATTCTACCTGACGGTACAACAGTCTATTCTCCAGCCTAAGATCTTGCCATTGTCCCCAGAGCATCTTTGCATCTGAACTCCAATCTATGATTTCTGATTTCTCAGGTCGACCACCATCCACTGACAACAACTTCAATACTGGACCTATGCCTAGGTCAGCTAATTGCCATTTGAGCAGCTCATCCCGAGTCCATACTGGTAACCAGTTAGCCACGCCACTACGAGCTGCAGAGTCACTGAATAGTCTACCGCCTACTCCAGAACTATCAGAGCCGTCATTCGTAGAATTCCCATCTTCCTTCGAATCAGTAAGTATAACATTCCTCTCCTCTACTTCAACCGGACTGACAGGTTCAGGTGCCTGAACACGGCTTTCTGCAACTTGCAGATCATCAATAGGCTCTAAGGATGTGACCAACTGACTATCATGCTGACTACAAGCCAAATCTGAAGAATGACAATCAAGACACTTCTCAAATGTACACCTTCGCTGTGACCTACGTGACAACGCATCTGCGTTCTGATTCTTTCTCCCAGGCCTATACTTGATCTCAAAATCATAGGTTTCTACAACACTAAGCCACCTTGCTAATATCCCTTCTGGATCCTTGAAGTTTTGCAGCCAAATCAAAGGAGCATGATCCGTGCGCAAAACAAACTTTCTGCCATAGAGAAAGTGTCTTAAGTGCTTAAGGAATGTTACCACTGCCAGAAGCTCACGTTTGGTTGTGCAATAGTTGCGTTGTGACTGTCCCAGAGTATGACTTGCATATGAAAGAACGTTTTCCTCCCCTTCCTGCACCTGAGACAATACTGCACCTATACCGAACCCGCTAGCATCTGTATCAAGCACATAAAGTCCTTCGTCTTGAGGAAAAGCAAGTACTGGTGCAGTTACGAGACATTGCTTCAACTGATCAAACACGTTCTCACAATCCTTAGTCCATTGAAATGGTATACCCTTTCGAGTGAGCTGCACCATAGGAGAAGTGATATCCGAGAAGTTAGGTACAAACTGCCTGTAGTAACCTACAAGACCTAGGAAACTGCGAATATCTGACCGGGTCTCTGGTCTAGGCCAACTTTTGACAGCTTCTACCTTTTCTGGACTACATCTAAGACCATTGGCTGAGACTATGTGTCCTAGAAAAGCAGCTTCAGGTTGAAATAGCATACACTTTTTAGGTTTGAGTTTCAAATTAGCTTGTCTAAACTGAATGAAAACTAACTTAAGATTGTTTAAAGCGGACTGAAAATCTGACCCAAAAACGATGACATCGTCCAGGTAACACAGACACTTTTTCCACTTTAATTTTCCCAGTACCCTGTCCATCAACCTCTCGAAAGTAGCTGGAGCGTTAGTGAGTCCAAACAGCATGACATTGAACTGATGGAGTCCGACATGAGTAGCGAAAGCAGTTTTATGCTTATCTTTCGGAACCATTTTGACTTGCTAATATCCGCTAGCTAAGTCCAGGGTACTAAACCAATGACAACCACCTAACGTTTCAAGTGTTTCATCTATTCGGGGAAGAGGATAGGCATCCCGTAGAGTGACGTCATTCAATTTTCTCAAATCAATACAGAACCTGCAGGATCCATCTTTTTTGGTTACTAGACAAACAGGAGCAGACCAAGGACTACTACTAAGCTCTATAATGTTCTGTTGCAACATCTTGTCAATTTCCTCCTCTACAAACTGTTTCTTAGTTAAAGGAACCCTCCTAGCAGGTAATTTGATAGCGGTTGCTCCACCAGTATTGATGGTATGCATAATCTCATCTGTCTGCCCCAACAAACCATCTTCACTCACGAAAACATCCTGAAATTCTCCCACTAAATCAGAAACAGACTGTTTTTGGCTTTCTGAAAGATCAGTGGAACAGCGATCAACCAGTGACTGCAAGTGACTAGGTAAGTCCTGGCCTTCAGCATTAGCGGTAACAACATCCTCACACGCAACCAATTGCTCAACCATGCCAACTGTACCCATTACGGATGAACTATCTATGGTTACCCTCTTGCTATTAATATTTAGCACTGAAATGACTACAACATCCTTGTCATGTTGGACTAGACTCCTAGCCACAAAAACTCCTTTGTTTCTCCAATAATTGTTTGGCTCAACCAAACCCGAATCAGCACCAAATGAACCGTCAACAGTACATTTGATTAATTTCTCAGAATTCTCAGGAACAGTAACCTTATCAATAATTCTGACCCCTGCACAGTTGCTTGTGTTCAATTTGTACAACTTGAGCCTACCTCTAGATGTAGACAGTGTCTTTCGTCTCACATATACCTCACCATCATAATCCTCCAGGAAATCCATGCCAAGAATACTACCTATAGTACCCAAATCTGAAACCGCAAACTCTTGTTGAAACTGCACCTTTCCAACACAAAACTCAAAACAAGCAGAACCATGAACAACTATAGGTGTACCGTTGGCCGTAAAGAAATCTTTATGAACTTCCTTTAGCTTATCATCCTGTAAACCCAGTTTAAGGACATCATCTTGTGAGATAATCGAGACTGGAGACCCAGTATCCAACAACAGTCTTGAGGTAACCCCTTTCATCTGAAAATCTATATGCAAACATTTCTGAGGCTTCAAAGAACGCAAAACAATTTTCTCCCGTTGACTAGACATACCAGTCCGTGTTGACGAAGATGACTTCATCGGTTTCCCTACACCTGATGCTGACAAAGATAACCTCTTCCCCAACTCAACACCATGGAGTGAAGATTGCTTCACCAAGGGATCTACGCTATTCCCTACCAACTTAGGTAAATCTACTTGCACTCCAATATCATCAGTTAAAATAGTTTTGTCTTTCACATCAGGGGAAGATAACTTCACCGGAACTACATCTTCACGTGGCCTACCCATCTGTCCAACATTGGCTGAAATCCCGGCCTCGATCGCAGCCGCATCTAGTTTCCCGATTCAGGTTTATTGGTAACAGACTGATCCGGTAAACCCAGCTTTGATAAGTAAGGATACCTATCACGAAAATGACCTGGTTGATTGCAGACATAGCAGGTATTGGGCCTAACACTACGTAAGCTACGTTTGAAACTTTCCAGACAATCATCGATCAACTTGGCAACTGCCTCAAGTGTCACCCCAGTACTACCAACTGGTTGAACAGTTTGATTGATTCCTGCTACTCTGTCTAAGGTTTCAGGTTTCCTTCTCCTGCTACCATCGACAGCTTCAGACTCCATGGCGTATGAAATAGCATTTTCAAGTGTTTAGAGATGTGCAAAAGTGACATGTTTCCTCATGTCAAAGCTGTGCAGGCCAGTTAAGAACTGATCAATTAAATGTACCTCTAGTGATGAATAAGTGCTGGTAGGGTAAGCTATGTTTGCTAATCTCCGGAGCTGATACCCATAATCCGAAACTGTTTCGTCACGACCTTGTCGACGATTTCGGAATTCACTTCTATAGGCTACATTACGTTCTACTGGGTTAAAACGCTGACTCAATGCATTTTTGACCGCCTGATAACTATTGAGTTGTCTTAACGTAAGATTACTCAAACGTTTTTGTGCTGCGCCTCTCAAACACATACTAAGTTGTTGAGCCTTTTCATACTCGGTCCACCCATTCAATGAAGCAACTTGTTCAAAATGAACAATATAATCTTGCCAATCACATGACGTCCCGTCAAATTTGTCAGGTCTAACTTCCCAATGAGAAACCCTAGTCTTCTCAAATTCTGACAAAACAGTGCCCGCTGTATTTAATGACCTTGCATTATCACAACCTCTGGGTCTCGGAAAATCAACCCTTGACCTATCCTGTGACATTCCTGGTGTACTGAAATGAACAGAACGGCCACCCGTCATGATGCCGTCTGGAAAAGAGTGACCCAACAACGGATAATCAGCGTTCCGATGTGCAGGTGCGTTATAGCTTGACCCCAAATATGTATCCCTGCCAGCTTGCCCACTCCTTAAATCGACAGCATCTCCTACAAACGGTAGAAGTGTGTACGTGTAGAGGTAGGATACGTATTTTGCTGAGGGGGTGGTAACTCACTTGTCAAATCGATAAGTGGTTCCTGTGCATTAACACCAGCACTATCAAGAAAATGATCATCATCGGTCTCAGACAGAACTGACCAATTTAAACCTAAACCCTCAGTCATATTTTCACTTGAATTTTAACTTTACAGAAACAGACTATAACTAGAAATTGAAAAATATAACCCGATCCTGGTCTCGGCACCAACTCTGTAATAGGCGCCCTCTAAAGCCTGTAGAAAGGTGCCCAGTGACAATAGAATTATAGATATATTGGACAAAAGGTCAGATGTTATACTACGGTATTTTGCGTTGTGATTTCTTCTCCCTGGGCAGTATTCTTATGTCTGTACATTCTAGGAGGCTCCTGACTGGGTTATCAATTCTAGTTAGAAAGAAAACACAAAGAATAGAGTTAGGTTTAAAGATTATTTAACAAAACAAAACAACTGGGGCAAAATCCTAACCTTTTCTATTCCCTACGTAATTTTCCCCCTTCCCTACCTACTTAAACCTATTCAACCGTATAACTTAAACTTGTACTATTAACCACCCGTCTAGCTTAACTCCCAAAAGTAAAACGTCTATAAACAAACCTATTCAATCACTACTCTCCTTTTCCCCCACCCATACATCTTAATCTAAAACCTCAATGAAAGCCCTAAAATAATAATGAATGATCCTTATTCAGGACGCGGGAGTCGACCGTGCTTACCAGATACTGGTGAGTGACGACTGACGGATCCCTACCCAGGGTAGGCTTATAAAGCCAACACGCGGACCATGTGACCAGGAAAACGGACACAACCAATGAACACGCTCCTTACATCTCGGCTCTCTCAATCATGGCTTCCGCCTAGCCGAGCATGCAAGAAGCGTGCCATCGTCACGTCTTCCCAGCCACTACGCCCGCGTGGGCATAAGCCACTACGCGAGGACTACAAAGATAGGTACTACGTCAGCCGTTCAACTCACCCTTAAACTAACTCACCCATGACGTTCTTAAATATATATATTTACCCACAATAACCCCCGGTCGACTACATGATGATGGAACGGCTTATGTCGTTTTTGTCAACTGATATAATCAACTGTGATATAATGTCAGGGTTTATGGTCATGTAATTAAGAAACAAACCGCGAGTGGGAGTTGTTTATTGTACGATAAACAACGACCACGACTCGTTTATTTCTTATATGAGATATCAACATTACGTACGACCGCGGCAATGCCAGATAAATCCATTTTATGAACAGGAGGGTTTGAATTTGG